GGAGTGTCTTGTCCTCCTCCCAGTAATTGTGGGACGTGGACAGTACACTCGTAATTTGCCGCGTCGCTGCGTTCGGCGTATTGTGCCGCTATGCGCGGCAGATCTTCGATGTGCATCAGTTTCTCGAGTGGAGCAGCGAAACTCATGTGAATACAAGCTGGAAGCATATCACGATTGTCTCTACGGGCGATGTAGAATTTTTCCTTCCCTGTGACGTACATATTCAAACAGCCGGCCAGGACAACTCGTCTGTCACCGCTAGATACGCCCACCAGCGCGGCATATCACGATTGTCTCGACACATATCTAGTATTTCATTTTGTCATCTTTGCTGACTCCTCTTGATTTTTTCGTGACTTTTCACCGTCATTTCAACTCTTTTACGGCGCAGTGTGAGTTTGAATGGCGACACCCCCCACTCACCACATTTCACGAGTAAATACCATTTTTATAGAAGCTGTACAAACGTCCGACGTTTGTGATGTCCAGTCAGCATTGCAACCTATGGCCATACCGTTTGACGATGCGGATTTCATAGCGATTTCGGAGCAGGTGGCGTCGACGGAGAATGATCTACACAGCGCTGGAACACATGTTTTCTCGGATCGGATGCTATCCAAGACTATTGAAAGGCTGAATGATCGCATTGATTCGTGGGCCCATGAACTGGTAAGCTTGTTGTCATTCATAGGTCAGTTCGGAACCGTTCTCCCTGGAGATATGTTGAGCGCAGTTCGGCTTGATGAGGCACCAAATGGTGCTCAGCGAGCCTGTACACGCTACCTTGTGAAGACCCATAAATTTCCGTAATCAGAGTGGCTCTCCTGCACTATCTCACAGCCTCATTAAAGTTCATCGGTTAGTTAACATGAAACGGTGAAAGGGACCCGGGGAAAGCAAATTCCCCTCTCAAGCGGAACAGCGCCTACATGTTGCTTCTTTAATCGAGAATTATGGTACCGATTCACGCTGACATTTTAGTGGCGCGTGAAACGGAGCAGCTGCCCCACTTTTTTATGACACCATTTTGAGCGAAATGAGTGGAAAACATAGAGCTTAGCACTGCCAACACTGAGAGCGCGTTCATACTTTACGACCCGATCGCTTGGATTGCGCGATTGGATCACTCGAGGGATGCGATCCTACGATCCAAGCGATCGGATTACAAAGTATGAATGTGCTCCGAGTTGGTGTGCTGCATGCTAAATGAGTGAAAGGATACCTATATGATTTCTAGTTGAGCCGCATCGAACAAGAACGAAAAGGTCCGCAACAACAGAAGAAGGCGATCGAGGTGCGTTTTTCTTTGTATCTCTCCCATCACTCTTATCCATCACATTTCTCTTTTTTACCCACCGAATTTGTATTTCCTCTAAAATTTTGCTATTACATGGTTCGTGTCAAGTTCATAACGGTTATCATCAGTGAGAAGCTGAATGGGATGTAGAATATCAGTATTTTGAAGGGATACAGATCTTACCAGCTCGACTAGCTCGACGTTGAAGTGTGCCTTTACAGACTGATAATGACTGGGGAGATTCGAAGAAAGGTGGAGGAAAGAAGAAAGGCGGGCGAGGTGGCGGTGGAGGAAAAGCTGCGAAATCCACTGGAACGGCACGAGATGAGTCGTCTTCTGCGATGATAGGTGTTCCGCAAGAGGTTTGAACTGCATTATGAGGAGATTCCAATCGATATTTTCATGATGCGTTGTAGTGATGAGGTGCATTGTTCTGACCATTGTTTCATTTTAGACTCTCCAAGAATGGGTTCTTGCCACTGAAGTAGTGCCTGAAGAAATTATGGAGGATGTAATGGAACAAATCGGTTCTCAGGTAACGCCCTGACTCTTTTACTTTCGACAACACTTACTTGTTTGACACACGGAACGTAAAGCGTAAAGACGGACCGAGCTCCACGAAAACACGTGCATGGTATGGCACTTCCATCCGTCCGTGGAAAGTGCATGGAAACGGCGCTGAAAGGTAGAAGCACTTAGATGTCGTTCCCGGACAGCTCTGCCGCACGACCAGTTGCTCGCCTAACTATAGTCAAACGGGCTAACTACTAGTAGTTGTTTCTGCATACCGCTGTGTGCGTGTGTTGCACAGACGGGACCCTAATATGCGACGCATCGTACACCTTGCAGTTGGCACGATAAATCACCCAAGGCTGATGGCACTAGAATCAATAATCCTGGGAGGATAGATTTCCGCTACCCTGGGCAGGCGGCATAGCGACCGAGGAAGGTGCCCCTATAAGGGCCCTATCAAGCTACAAATTTACGTCCCAAACGCGACCGCATGGGGCGTCCGCGCGCGCGGTCCCCTGTGCGGGTCACCGGTCCGTCGTTCATGTCGGCGCCGACACAAAGGAGAACGCGTGCCTCGACGCTCGTATCGATTTCATGTTGCTGTGCAAATTTGTGAAGGCGAAGAGATTGTATGAAGGCGGCCAGTGGATGCATCATAGTGTTGGGTACATATATGCAGCCGTATCTTCGGTAGCGGTGATTGGTAAGATGCCTACGGGAAACTCGTCCGAAATCGATTTACAAGTCACTGAGAACGGAGGCTTTTTCTTCGCAGGATTTTGACCGTTTCACTCCGTTCTTTCGCCATTTCCCCACTATACAGCGCCCTACTAGCATTTTAGGCTAAGTAGGAAACCATCGTGCCAACTGCCTTCAAGGATGGCGCGGGCGGAGTAGTGGGATGGCGCTTAGGTACCACTACCCTACGTCCCCTTCTCGTGCTTTTCTGAGCGTAGGAAGTGGCAGGCTGCTGCAGATGCCGACCCATTCGCCACATGGCTAGACCGTCCTCGGACAAGAGTGGGTAGCTTGTCTTCAAAAATAAGTGGGTGTTCATGTTCACTTATCATCAATTTCAGGTGGATGACAAAATTCGCGCACGCGTCAATGAAATAGCTGTATCTCAACAGAATGCGGCAGCCCAGTCGCAGAAGAAAAGCTTGGCTCAACTTCAACAAAGAGCACAAGGGCTCTATTCCTCCATTTGCATGTTTGAATCGGCGAGTTCGTCCTTCCCAGGTGAGCTTTAGTTTGCTTTCTTCTGTTGCCCACTGTTATGAGGTCCTGCATAAGTCACGGCGCTATTAGCAGTAGAATACGATATTAGTTCTTCTTCGTCACTGAGGTGCGTTAGATTCAGTCTCCGGCCGCGTCGATTTGCTTTTCAAAGTACATTCAAGTCAAAAGCATAATGATAACTCTCAGAGGCTTTGTCTTTCATTGGCTTCCCTAACCTATATTGAATTTAGACTCTCTTCGCGATGAACTGCGGCAATATTTGCTTCGTACAATGGGCACCGATTTGGCCAATGCAGCTCTTTCGTGTGCCTCTGGGATGGAGAATGCTGGCCAGTTGAAGGAAAAGGTTGGTTCATAAATAGAAGGCCATTCGGCGATTCCAGTCGCAGTGCTGCTTCTCCGTGAGGTGAACGAGGAAGGCAGCTGTCCCAGCTGTCAGGTATATAAACAATAGCGGATGTTGGACAACACATCCGCACTGCAGCGAAAACGACATTGCAAGGGGGTCCTTGACGAACCTGTACGGGACATCAGTCCTAGAGCGAGATTTTCGCTGCTTGCAGCGCGACTTCTCCTGAAGTGCAGATGTAAGGTCTCGCATTCTCGCGCGGACACTTGCAGCCAGGCTTAATGCGGTGTACGAAAGCAGCACTGTGATTAATTAATTGATTGCGTTCGGCTTGGTGGGGGCATTTTTCCAATTACTGCTGGATCACTGCCGACGCCTCCTGTTGG